CTTGAATATTAGGATTTGAATGGATCTCTACACTTCAAACATCCCATGGATTATTTTTGCTGAAAAGGGATTCGGAGGAAAGCTTATTTTATGTTCTCTAAATGATACAAATGGTGTTTTTTTTGGGGGGGGCACTATGTGAAGGGATTTCTACTAATCCTCAATAATTTTTCTGTCAAATTAGATCAAAGGCTTTTGTAAGTCCTTTAATGAAATGGCAACACTATGCAACTTTTCCATGGCTTGGGACTGGAATCTATTATAGCTGTGGAGAGCACCACATTGTCTATCTCTGGACTAACTACTCTATTCCGAACTTAAAAATGGAAAGCGTAATGTCAGGGGACTGCCATCAAGGGAGGGGGGAGAGGTAGGAATGTACAGACAGCCTCCCCCCTTGTTGAGCAGCTGCACCTCGTCAGAGTCTGGTGAAGGCGAGGGCTCAGGAGAAACAGATGAAGAGAGAGGGGGGGTGATGCAAAGGCTCACTCAGGCTGAGATGAGCCACAACACTGCTCCTAAGGAGTTTGAAGTGCCACTTCCATCGCATAGTTTTTGCCAGTGAATTAAGCATAAGGAAAAGAGGGGGAGAGGGGGTTGTCCTGGGCTTTTGTGCTGGAGGGCAAACCGGAAGAAACCACTTCCGGAATCTGCTAGTGATTGAGGCAGACATGGATTTTGGACTTCTGCACTGTACATAGTTTTTGCACTCAATAAAATCTGTAAAAGACAGGTTGGAGTCCTGGCTGTTATCTTCATGAGCAACCACACACATTCCTCACACGTAATGCTGGTGGTCAACAAAAGAGGTTTAAAGACTCTCTCAAGGCAAATCAACCTTGACCAAAGTTGTCATGGACTTTGAAGATTCTCAAACTCAGGACGTAAGGGAGAAATGAGCGAAGAAGAAGGCACGTTTGGCAAACTCTCACCATGATCAACTCCCACCTGGAAACTTATGCCCCCACTGTGGAAGGATGTGTGGATCCAGAATTGGCCTCCACAGTCACCTATGGACACACCGTTAAGACCGTGTTCATGGGAGACAATTTTACTCAACTGTGAGTGATTGCCAAGGAAGAAGAATGCCACAATATATTTGTCAGTCTTTGTCAGGGCTCTTTGTTGTAACTGAGGAGGAGAAAGAAGACAAAAGAGTTAACAAATAATTGGGTGAAGGTTTTAAAGGATGGGATTTAAAATTATTACGCTGGGCAATCTACTGCCACAGTGGAGAGGTGAAGATGAAAGAAAAACATGAAACAATTATGCAGATATCCATAAACAGCATTTATTAATATCTGGAGAATGTGAAACTCCTTGAACCTGACAACGAGATAATAAAGATTGAATGCTCTGTGGATGCTATGATAATGATGAGTCACTGTATGAATGTTGCTTCTGAAATATTGACAAGATGTGAACACTATTCCAGAAACTGCCCCTTTGTGTAGGAAAATTCACGCAGATTAAAATTCTGGTGTATCTGCCTTGAATTAATCTATTTCAGTTCTTGGGTGGCACACAAAGCTGTTTACTAAGAGCCATTGTGTCTGCAAAACTCCTGTGGTTCTCTCAGGCTCTAACAGGATTTGACTTGCAAGAAATCATAGCCAGAGTATATTTACTTCACTTGCGGGGGAGGGGGGCAGTGGCACAAGCTGCATAAAATACTTAGTAGGTCTCAGCATGGGACGGCAAAGGATTGTGTTGAATCTCTAACTGGACTCTGAAAATGATGATGAAGTGATGCTTCCCTTTAAAAGATCAGGCAGCTGAGATGAAAAAAAGCTTTTCCTCATCACACATCCAAAGAGCAAACAGGTGGCTCATTAAAAAAAAGAAGAAGCGCTTTCAGGATGATCACGGCTTGTTTGTTTAAATCTCTGCACTGGAGACAGGCCATCAGGAAGAAGCATGCATTCTATTCCCATTTTGAATGAGGCTCTTGGTAGCATTTCTTAGTGGGAGTTCTCCCTCTGGCTAACCACCTGCTTCATTGCTTGCAAGTTGCCTTTTATCCCCAGCCCTCCTGTGAGAAGGCCTCTTGTCCACTCTGGCCATGGCCAGCTCATGTAAGTCCCTTAGAGCTATATGCTCAGGTTACTCCACGTGTTTGTGTATGTAAATAACACACGTACACAGAGAGAGACCGCTGTGAACTGGGATGCACATGCAACTTCTTATATGTACAGCCCAGTTCACAGTATTGTTTCTGGCAGACATTTCTCTGGCTTCTTCTTTGCCAATAAGCGATGGGGAATATGGCTTCCAGCTCACACTTGTCTCCCTCCATCTGATCATTTACCTGGGTATGGAATCATGTGAAGAAACTTATCAGTATGATCCGACCTTTAAGTCTATATCCTTCTACTGCATCCCTTGAAAACAGCTCTTTGTTCAGATCATCTATTTTAGTGAGAAGAAGGAAAACACACTGGCTCTGAAACGTGGCTGATTGCACAAATTCTATCTTTGCCTTTTATCCACAAGGACCTAAGAAGAGCCCTGCTGGATCAGGCCAATGGCCCATCTGTTCCAGCATCCTGTTCTCACAGTGGCCATGTCAGTGTTTGAAAAAGAAAATGTTCTGACCTCCTTTTTACTCCTTTGCCTAGTCCTCAGACCTTAGTTGGCACAAAAGAGTCTTTGGGAAAGAGTATTCTTGCAGAGTGTTGCTGCTTTTATTCTTAAAAAATCTTCTTCTCCAACCACGACCGACAGCTTTTACACACACCAAACACAACCAGCTTTCTACCATCCAACCAACCCACACCCAACACTAACATTGACCACTCTATATATACAGGTACAATTTGGTGAAAGGTTGCACGAGTCATTGTAGGCCGCTGACTCATGCTGACTTAGTTCTTTTAGCATTAAAGAAACAGCGGCCAATTTTTAGCCATGACAAGCCACCCACAAGCAGGGCCTGAATGACGATTAATGTCCATAAGGTAAGTAGCCATGTGAGCATTACTGGACCTAATTATACACTGTAAATATTAAACTAATATTTGTATCACAACACAATGTGTATCACACAACTTTTTTGTATTCGCACAGTGTTCACTTATGAAAATACACAAATAGGACGAGACTGCACTTTCATACTGTCAAAGTGCAGAAATGGGTGTTTGTATAGAGTTGGAAAAATTTGCAAATGCTCAGCTTACAGCACATGTTCTGTGATTCAGAATTGTGTGTGCATTAAATGCATGTTAAGCATGACATAAAACAATTTTCATCCCACTCCTCATGATGTTTATGCTGTTTAAAGTTTCAGCTGCTGATATCTGCTCCCCCACCCAGCTGCAACTGAAGGCGTAAGAGCAAGCCAGGCTAAGCTATTTTGTCTGCTAGCTCTAGTAGCTGCTCTTATAGTATGTCTTTAGCAAGTCAAGATTTGTGCAAAGAGGAGTTTTTGGGTCCTCCGGATAACAATGTACTCTCCTGCACAATCTGAAAACTGTGACTTCAGCTGGATGCTAGAACAGGCTAAATATAGCCCATACGCTGTATGTGAAAATGCACATCTGCCTATGCATCCTTCCTACATTTTAGCACATCTGAGACTCAAGCCAGAATGCTGCTGGTCTACAGGCATAACCAGGGAGACTAAAGGCAGCCTCCCCCTGGCCAAGCCAGCAGGATTTGTGCTATAATGATCTCATTGAAGGTCATTTGTGACTTGCTTAAAGGCCATCTAATTTGAACTCCATGCATATTAGCAGGACAGTGAGCAATCCTGGAAAATTAGCCATCACTCAACTGGCACAAACTCTAGTTGGACACACTAGGGGCAATCACAGTGAGCGATGAATTTCAACAGGATGTTCCGAAGCAATCTGGGACCCTGTACGGAAGCAGGATGCAGGTGCCTGGACCCCTGAAGAGCTCAGGAAGGGCTGTGCGTAGCTATGCACAGGGGGGCCAGCTGTCCACCTACAGATACAAAGAAGTAATTACTCGCAAATGGTACAATAATTAGCACAAATATCAAGATCTGACAGTGTTTCCGGAATCCTTCCCAACTCCAGTGGATGGATCACTATGTAAATGCTACCAAATTGTTGATTCAAGGTCTAGTGGGAGTTTTCCCCCCTCCTCAGGTTGGTAAGGAAAGAGAACTAGGGAGAACTAGGGAGAAGACTTGTCTGAACCAAACTTCACCAGAAATCCAAATCTCCAGCAGTTTCCCAGAAGCATTTATTTTTATTTGGTTTGTCCAGCACCTGATATCAGTCAACAACAATTGCCAAAAGCCCACACAAAAGCTGTTTCCTTCATAGCCAGCCAAGGAGTGAGATAAAAGTTTTTCTTTTTTAATAACTACATTTTATTTTCATTTTTTCTCTCTCCTGAAAAGGTACACAAGGTTTTCACTTCAAAGTACAGAAATCTTAACTACACCAAGAGCTGGTGATCATATTGCATTATTAAGGGAATGGGAAAGAGCAGGTCGGACTTGCAAAGAGCTGCACATATGAATTAAGAATCCCTTGGCTACTTGGTGGATAAGTTGTTTGAAAGGTCTGGTCTCAAGTGAAGGATTTGTTGTTTTTCAGAAAGAGAGAGCAGCATGGATCAAAGCACTGTGACTTTTCACAGAAGAAAATAGCATGATCATGGAAGGAACAGATTTTCCTGACTTCCCTTTAGTAGTCTTTCACAGTAAACTCACACTAGCATTTATAAGAACCAATGATCAAATCCAGAAGTGCACCTTGCCCACAACAGTGGCCTGTAAGATAATACTTAGCAATATATAGAGCTTGCAGTTGTTCTAAGCATTACACGTCTATTATTATAGTTGCACAACGACCCTGTGAGGTGGAGAACCTCAGGCTCAAGGACCAAATGTGGCCCTCCAGTTTTCTCTGGCTGGCCCTCAGGACTCTCCCAGGCCACACAAACTGTGGGTCCTGCTCCCTGGGCTCCCTGAGTGCTTTTGCATAGCTGGAATGTTCCCTTGAGCTTTGATCATTCCTCTTGCTTACCTTGGATGTAGAGGGGCCAGGGGTGTAGAAGCTTCCGACTTTAGAAACCTCAGGTTGCAGTGCCATCTACTGTAGAAAGCGAAGAGCTGCAGCTATTGCTCCACCCACTTTTGCTTCTGGTCCCGCCCACCACTGGCAAGTGTTCTCTGGAATATTGCCCATGGGGGAGTGTGGCCCTCAGACTGAAAAAGGATCCCTGACCAGCCTGATGGTAAGATGTTGTTGCTGGAAAAAATACATTGAAGTCACTTGTAAGCTGCCTTGAAAAGGATTCATTGTGTGAATGATATAAATCCCTGTAATAAATAAGTAAATAATATGCTGTGTATGTTATCTACAAGGCCTGAAAGAGAGCATTTGCAAGCATGTTTGGCTTGCATCAAGTAGAGTGGTACCTCAGTATTCAAACGTCTCTATTGACAAACCTTTCAGTTTTCGAACGCTGTAAACCCAGAAGTAAATGCTCCCGTTTTTGAACGCACCTTGGAAGTCAAATGGCTTCCGCTGAGTGTATATGTTATTTTTCTCAATTTTCTCTTTTAAATTTGCAAATCACCCTTTGCGCCTTGGTTGTTAAACATTTTGGAACTTCAACAGTCTTCCGGAACGGATTACATTCGAAAACCGAGGTACCACTGTAATTGTTTCATTACAAACTGGAATAAGCAAAATCCATCTTCCCAACCTTCTCCATACAAATGACGATTTCTGTTTTGGGAATTGCTGTGAAAAACAGAAGAGAAATGCATGTCGTCTAATCTCACTGTAATGAAAGCTTTTATTAAGATAAGGGGGTGAGGGGACAACTGGCTGTGATCTTGGCTGTGATTTGCAGGATTGGAAAAACACAGACCATTTTCTAAAAATACCCAGCGATTGTTTGAAAACTGATGAGTATCTACATTGAGTTTCTGCCAACATAAAGCAGGTTGATGTGAACATGTCTTCACAGCTTATCAAAAGAGATGGGATAAAGAGGAATGGACTGGCTGATACACCGTAAATTTCCACTTCATATCTTGGACAAAGAATTGTGTAAAATCACACATCATTTTAGGGGTGGATAATACTGCTGAATTAAAAGGTCCCAGCACCTTGCAAAGTAGATTATCCCAACATTTCTTTGGTCACACCAGGCCACACAAGAACTGCTCTGAAGTTCATAGACCCTGCTGCAAATCATTGATTTAACTGTTGTGTTTCACGAGTCTCTTGATTCAGGCTGCAGCACTTCAGACATCCCCTATCCATTCACCTCCATGATTCCTATGCAGGAGTTTAGAGGACCACAGAAGGTTTGGAGACCCGTTGCGTTATATTCAACATAGCACTGAGCAAAATGTTCCATCTGTGCAAGGACTTTTCCTTGTGTATCGTAATGTTCTGCCCACGGCTTTTTTTCAGCCAGAACTTTATGGAACTCAGTTCTGACACCTTTCAGGTGGGCGCCATTGCCATTCTAAGAGAACAAGGGAGGTATTCATGGTGAGTTACGGCACCTCTTTTCCCAGAAAAATAGGACTGGTTCTGTCCCTCTCCTCCCTCCATGCATCTCCTAAATCTCTTCTTCTGGCTTGTCCCTGTAATCGAGGGGACTGGGGCCGTGCAACGTGCACACACCATGCTGATGTTGTGCACGTCACTCACCACTGAGAAAGGCCTGTCTGGGCCAAAATGCATTGGGCATAAATAAAAGGTGCATTATTTTTCAGCATCTTGAGAATGGTTCTCCTTTTTGTTACCTTTTCCACTGGATGCTTTCCATTTTTGGGTTGTGTGCTTGTGGCGAAAGAAGGAGCAAACTTGATTATGCATTAGCTACACATCTGTGTCCCTAAGTACCAGATTATTAGTTTTTTTACACAAATTGCTAGTTTATAATTTGCTATCATGGGGGGGGGGTTAAGCTTTGCCTTCGCCGTGGCCCTTTTCCAGATTCCCCTCTGCATTGGCAATTTCTGTAAAATGGCAACAACCACCCTGAGCTTAAGGGCTAGTGGTGGCGGAGCTTAGGGTCTCATATTTCAGTAGCACCCTGTGGAACACCAAAATTTGGTGCTCCCCACCTCTTGCCTTCCATTCTACATAATAGTTGCAGCACCGGTGAGGAGCCCAATGCAACTGAACCAGTTTTGCTCTCCTAAATCCTCCTCTGCTGCTGGTCTGATTGGCTTCTGGGTGTGCAATGGTCAGCAAAATGTCTTCGGTTTGTCCTGGATTAGCCACCCTACTCAGTGATGGAACCACACAGTAAGCAAATCATTTTGCCTGGTCCTAGGTTAGCTAGTGGACAAATAAACCCTGAACAACACTGTTGCAACAAGTACAGGGGTTGGGGGTGGGAAGCTATAGAAGTGATTGTCGAAGCTAAAGGGGGAAATTGGCCAAGGAGGCAATGTTCTTTTCAAGTTCTTAAAAGGCTGTTACAGCAAACTAGAAAATTAAAAATGATTAAACAAGGGCTACGGGGGACCCTTGAAAACCATTCATGAAGAGATTTCTCCCCCCTTGCAGGTCGCTGTTGAGAATAAAATGGAGGAAGAGAGCACATGGTAGAAGTCCCTTATTAAGGATGAGGCATAAGGTGCTTAAGAAAACCTCCTTTGGGGATCGAGACGGAAAGCTTCCTATTAGAATTTTGAAACTGCTTAGAATTCCTAAACGCAGCAAAGAACAAATAGGGTTCTTTCTTCTCCTCTGTCTTCTCCATGCCTCTCTGAAAGACAACCGGAGAGAAAAGTAATAGGTCTCTGCTTTAAAGCCTCTTCCACACACTGGCGGAGGAAAGCGGGCACGGGAGGAGTACCCCCCCCTTCGGGTGCCATGGGGTTGCACAGGGCTTCCACAATATATTTAGAAGTTAGGCTTCAATTGGTTTTAGCTTAAACCAGTGGGGCTGCAACAAAATGTTGCAGGATGAAGTCCATCCAATGGACTGCATCTGTTCCAGGGGCCGGCCAGCCAGTCTTGCCCTTTTCCAGGATAATCCATTGAACCTCCACCTGACACACAATGCTCACTCCTCCTCATTGGCTGTTTGGGCTTTCCCCTTCCCCTCTGGGTATTTTTTCTAAACTTTTGTACTTCAGCACATTTGGGGCTTCCTGCAAGCCTGCTGCTATCACTCTGACATGTGTGGAAGAAGTTGCATTGTCTATGTGATGATCCACATGAGCAGAATGGGTTCACTATTAGTATACCCGATTGTCTCAGCACAAATGTTAAATTTACCTTGATATTTAGAACATTCATCCACGACAGAACTGTCAAGGTTTATTTAAGCATCACAAGTGAAACACCAAGGGTGGAATTCAACACAGCACTGTGACAAACCAGGGCCGACCCAAGACATTTTAGCACTTGAGGTGAACCACAAAATGGCGCCTTCTCTCCTCTCCAGAGAAGGAGTGAGTGAAAATCTACATCAGGAACGGGGGGCTGGGGGGAGCGTAAAGATCTACATCAGGATCTGCTGCACCTGTGGATTCTGCTATCTGAGGAGGTAAGACAGCAGATGGGTGAGCCAGCCCTGTAACAAATGTTTTCAGGACGCCAGAGTAATTCCCTGCTCTCCTCCTCTTACCACTGTCCAGGGGGTTCTTCTCTGGGGTTTGTGCAGCAGGAGGAGGAGATGTGGGGAAGCAGAAGCCTTTGTGTAGGGCTTACCCTGCTAGGCTTCATTACATGACTACTGCCCCCTATACTACTTTGCAATATCAGATAATATGTTTGTGGTGCTTATACAGTGACTGTTCCCAGATACTGACTTCAGTAACCAAACAAGGAACAAAGGGAGTGACTGGGCTAACACAGATCAATGGTCCACCTTGTTTGTTGATAACATGCCACATGTTCCAGGAAAGGGGCATGTACGTTCCCTGTTGCCTATCACAGCAATGTTGTGCAGCCAGCAATACAGAGGCTGCTTGGTTTTCTCAGAAAGCTGATTCAGCACCGGTACCCACCCACATATGCCTTTCAGTCAATAAAAATAATGGCATGCTGATAGAGATCCAATCCGTCACAATCCTCCCAACAAAATCACTCAGGCAGAAACAAGCACAAAAAGCATATTCTAATCCTATTAGTCATTCCCCTAGAATAAGAGTCTTGTTTATTTAAAATATAGGTGTTCATTTCTTGAAAATGGCTTTAGCTTAGCAGCCTGCTTCCAAAAGTAGCTTTGTATGAGGCATCAAACTGTTCATGCATCACTGTTAGCTGTTTTCTACATTGATTCTAATGCAACATTTATCTTCCTCATTATCAGTAAAAATGTTTCTCATTCTCATTTTACAAAGCTGAGAGCTGATGAAGCAGGAAGCAGGATATTAGGGGGGGTGTATGTTAGGGGTTATGTAAGATGTGAGTGGTTAATGTGCATAGAACTGGCCATTATGCAGATCATCTTTCCATAAACTGTGCACAGAGAAATGTGCGTATTGCATAGGAAGGAGTGAAGTTCTAGCTAAAGATTAACCTTTTTCTGCAGTCCAGTGCAAGGGCAATCACAGGCAGAGGAGAGCTTTAAACTTTACCTGCCCCTCCAGTGATCCTTAAGAAAAATGCCCCCCTCTCTGTGCACTGCTATTATGCTTAGGGAGGAAAGCAGCATGGGGTCAATCATCACTGGGACTTCAGGGGAAGAAGAGGTAACCAGCTGAGGAAAGGTTACCCAGCAAGGAAAAGAGGAATGGGAGAGAGAGTTTGAAGTATTGCTGGTCCCACTCACTGCCAAAAGATTACCTCCAGGAGAATTCTGCTATTGATAGGAAGATTATGTTGCCCACTCCTTCTCTCATTGCTGTATTCTTCTCAAGGGTCTAGAATTGGATATTGGTAAGGTCAGAAATACAGGCTATGGCCATTGGTCCATTTAGCTCAGTAATAGCTATACCAGCATGGCACCCTCTAGCTGTGGTTTGACTCCAGTTCCCATTGGCCTCAGACAGCATGGCCAATGATCAGGGATTATAGGAGTTGTAGTATTTATACCTCACTTTTCCTCCAATGAGCTTGAGACGGCATACACGGTTTTCTATCTCCCCATTTTATTCTCA